GGTGAAGTCAGGCATAGAGGCAGAATTAACAGGCCAAGAAACAAAGGCAATGGATCCTCTGCCTGAAGAAGATACAAGCAATCAGGAACTGTCCAAGCAGATATCACCCGCATGCACTGCTAAGCTGCCTTTGGCTCATTGTCTTTTTAAAAACAGCTTTGTGGAGGAACAACCTAGGCCTCCATAATGATGACGTTAATGCAGAATTAAAAACTCCTATTAAATTCTTCCTTTGATCCAACACTGTTTTTCCCATGCTGCATCAGATTCTGTTCTGAGAACTATATAACCACTACCACCTCCTCGGTCCTATTAGTCCCACCAGTACTGCTCAGTTGAGCCTAAAACCAAACAAACCTCACCACTGAAAGCAAAGCCTCCACATTCCAGACATTTGTTTACAAAAGCCATTCAACAATAGAATCAGAGAATTCAAGAGAGACTTAGGAGATGTCCCGCTCAATGGAGGCCAGTCTCACCAGTCAACCATCCAGGCATTCTTTCCCAGAAAAAGGTATGACCCAGGTTAACTCACATAAATCAGAATCAGAGATCCAGATTGGAATACTGAGAACACAGGCTAAATAATACAAGTATCCAGATTGTGCAGATGCTAATCAACCAATTATTTGACTCCATGCCCTCTTTCAAACACTTTGTAGTGGAACATTTATGTTCTGGTACATCTAAGTACTTATTTCATGAAATATGTTTGAGAAGACATTTTTTGTACAAAAGAAACACAAAATGAGAATAGCAAAAAGCAAGTTTACAGCAAGAAAATGTTTTTTCAGTTATCCCATAATCAGATCAGGAGGAAGCTGAAGTAATTACTGGATGAATCTGAATTTGGAAAACTTAAACCTGTCTATACAAATATTGATATTTGGAGCCTTCCAGAACTCACTGTTCTTCAGAAAACCAGTATCCTTTACATTCTTCAAACATACAATTGGGTAACTGAGACTGAATCTAAAATAAACCAAAATAAAGACCTAAATAAAGCATATTTGTCTTCACCCCTGCAAACTTATATTGAGATATTTCTGCAGTTTTCTTAGCATGGTATGTTAACTGCTTGCCACTGATTTATTCTGAGATGTTCTTTTGAATTCACAAACTAGCCAGCATCTAGATTTCCACTTAAATTTTCCTCAACAAATATTAACAAGAAACTCTGTGTTTAAATAGAAATTTATAACATTTCCTATCAAAGAGACATCTTATAATGTGGGGGCATAAAATAGTTTCCCAGCTTTAGCATTCCCCAGCTATAGACTCCAACTCATAGAACTGCACATCCAAAATGTTCACTGTTGAGAATTATAGGAGTTGAAGTCGACCTCATCACACGTCATGTAGACAGCTTTGTGAGTTTTATTTTGAGTTGCCCATAGCACTTTGGTTACTGAAATACAAAACTGCAGTAAATAAAATAATTTTAAACTATCAGCAATAAGTATTCAACTTTTGTCTAAACTCAGCTTCTTATACTGAAATGGAGTGTGTAGCACTATTCTTGATTGCTGCACAGTATAGTATACCCTTCTTTAGCTATAAATTCAAAAAAGCAGCATCCACCTGATGCCTGATACAACCACGGTGGAAGCAATAACACAACCACTGCATTTATTGTCCCAATGGTCACCATGTAGTTCTGTATCCTGTATGATACAAACCTTACATCAATACAGCCATGTATTAATTAACATACACAGTAAAGCTGAGCTTTTATCAAAAAAGGGGCAGTAAGTCATTTAAGTTACATTACTTAAATCAGGGGTCCCCAACCTGGCCACTACCAGGCCATGTCCTGTTTGAAACCAAGCCAATGAGTGTCGGGCAAGTGCATGTGTGTGAAGCTCCACTTGTGCAAGAGGTGGGTCCTTGTGAATGAAGCTCCACTCACTTAAGGTACCTGAGCCCTCTGTTCGCGCAAGGAGAGCTTTGCACATGAGCACAAGCATCCCACTCTCAAGTGATCCACTCGTGCAATTGGAGCTTTGAATGTGAGCGCAAGCACCCTCTGCTCACATGCTTGAAGGTCCACTCACGTGAGTGGAAGGCTCACATCTGTCACTCGCACCAATGGAGCTGTGCACACGTGCACCTGCCACCTTTACGCCCCAGGGCCAGGCCGCTAAGGTGGAAAGGTTGGGGAACTCTGACTTAAATGACATTACTAACCACCACACCACCACGAACTTTGGAAAGAAAATCATGGAACTAGGAGCAGAAAACCATGATTTCCTTTTAGAGGAAATCAACTGGAATCAGCATTGTATATACTGTACACAAGTAGCTTGAAAACAGAAATTTCCTCCTGGCAATGAAGAAAAACATACCGCCTTTGCTAATGTCTATAGTACTGTATTTATTGAAGTGCTTATGTGATTTAGTAAATTTACAGACCAATTGGAGGGGAAAAGTGTCCAGCAAATTCAAATGTATTTAATTGAACCAATTTACATAATTTGTGCCAGTTTATATCATCTCTCTGATTATTTAATTGTATTAATTATGCAAAGGATTTGAATTGATACAAACCACTTAAACATTAATTACCTAGATAGTTTCAATTTGAGGATGAAGTTTGAACTAAATTTTGGTCCCAGTTGGAAGTTTGCTGAATAAAGGTCAGTAAAAAACTGAGATTTTACTGTATTCTCACAGTAAAAAAACACAATTCATAATTCAATTAGTAATATTTTAAAGTTTTTTAACTTGCAAAAGTTTGCTATAAAAGCCACTTCAGGACCAGTTTTTATAGTAGGTCAGTGCTGCCATAGGGATGGGACAAACCCAGAGAAAGTCCTAGTCCTCACCCATCATTTCCAGTGCATAGGCTTCAATCAAAGTGCTTTCACAAAATGCTTCACAGAGTCATTCAAAAATAAGAACAGATTAACAAAAATAAAACTTGCAGAGAGAGAGGGACACATATTTAATGGATCACTATTGTACCATGGCATGCCTGGTGGCAGAAGAAATGAACGGGGCCTTTGAGACAGAAGATAACCTACCTGACATAGATTTTTAGACAAATAGAAGTTAGAAATTAAGAAATGGAAAGAAAGTTCAGCAGATGTATATGTTTTAACAGGCTCCTCACACATAAACGTCTATCCAACTTAGTCAAAATAGCTCAATATGTTATATTTATTTATTTATTTATGAGACTTATATACCGCTTTAAGTGCAAGCACTCTCTAAGCGGTGTACACCAGTAAGCAATGTATATATATATTTACATCGCCCCCAACAATCTGGGTCCTCATTTTACCTACCCCGGAAGGATGGAAGGCTGAGTCAACCTTGAGCCGGTGAAATTTGAACCGCTGACCTGCTGAATACAGTCAGCTAAAGTGGCCTGCATCGTCTGGGTCCTCATTTTACCTACCCCGGAAGGATGGAAGGCTGAGTCAACCTTGAGCCGGTGAAATTTGAACCGCTGACCTGCTGAATACAGTCAGCTAAAGTGGCCTGCAGTACTGCACTCTAACTGCTGCGCCACCTCGGCTCTTTTATATATTGATTACTGAGAAAGATGCTTTGATTTCCATTAAGTTTATAAAGAAGTATTCCTTTTCAGAATCAACAAACTATGGTATGTCTAAGAGATAGGTTAATGTGCAGACAAAAAGCAACATACTAATAAAGCCTGTCTTTACTGTCTAAAATGTCATGTAACAGCCTTTTAAAAGCTCTACTGAGTATAAAACTAGCTCAACAAAATGTAACATGATTTACGTACAAAAAAAGGATGGGTCAGTTGAGAAGGAAATAACCAAAAGCTGCCATACTGAACAACTTCAAAAAACAGTAAAGGTGAAGAATCTTGTAACAATGCCAGGAAGCACTGCAACATGATACAGTGTGGCTGGAGGGAAAGCCAATAACATGCAAAGAGGCATCGTGTTACTGAACACTCCATAGGTAGCACTTTCAATGTTAAGTCTGCAGCTTTCTTTAACCTGGTACTCTCCAAATATTTTGAATTAATCAATCAATTAATCTCTGAAAAGCATCACCACCATGCTAACAAAAAATATAGTCCAACACAGAGAGAACCATACTTAAAAAACTTTATTAACTTCAGCAGCATAAAGAATAAAGATTAGTCAGACTTTATTGAAAGATTCACATGTTTTTTAAAATAGATGGGCAAGGCTCTAATATAAGTTATTTAAGGTAAATCCATACGAGTACAAAAGCCTCTTGTTCCATCTCCCTTTCAGACAAGACAACGCAGGAAGTAAACATGCCCTAAATATCCAGATTCCTTCCTCTGGTTCTATATCATGCTGAGCAAGCAGTCAAAACTACATGAGACAAATAATTTCTCAAATCAGTCTGCAACTAAGCTGCTACCGGGGTAGCAACCACCAATTCCAAATGTACTATTCTTTGGTTATATGCCAGATGGTATAATCCAGGGGTAGGCAACCGTGGCTCTTTTATGACTCGTGGACTTCAACTCCCAGAATTCCTGAGCCAGCTGTGCTGGCTCAGGAATTCTGGGAGTTGAAGTCCACGAGTCATAAAAGAGCCACGGTTGCCTACCCCTGGTATAATCAACAGCTCCTACACTGTGAATGGCCAAATGTCCCAAACTTTTTCTATCTCATCCCCCTTTAAAAATCCCTATTATAAGCCTCAGACTAAGAACATGTTTTATAAGAAACAATCAATATTAGCTATCCAGAAAAAGCTTTTAATATAGACTATTAATAAAGGGGAGTTTTCTTATCAAGTTGCTACAAACGAGTCAGAATGATTTTACAATTATAAAGCATGTGTACTCCAAACTATTCAACATCTAACTGCATCAACATCAGATGGCAAGGTGGAAACCAGCAGGAACAAGGGTTTTGGTCTACTCTGCTCTTATTTATGTTAACAGAAAATAACTCTGAAAGAGCAGCAGCGTACATTCCTTTCTCCAGGATACCAGAGTTCCTTAGCTTGAGATAACATTTCTAGGGTAATGAGAAACTCACCCAAATAAATGTCTCCAAAGGACCCACTACCAATTTTTCGTCCCAGCCGATACTTGTTTCCCACTCGAAGCTCCATGATTCAGATGCACTGGAAATAAAGCAAAAGACAGGCAGGATAAAGTTAGAAGAGTGCATACGAAAAAGATCCAAGTTCATTCTTAAATGATCTCTATAAAAAGTATTTCAATCGTTGGATATAGTGCCTTTCTCTTTGGAAACTCTTTCATATAAGATATGTAGACTCAGTTTCCTGACCTGTAAGTCATTTAAAGACATTTAAAATTTCAGTTTAGCTATTAGCGGCCTAATATCTCTTCGACAACTTGTGGAAAAAAGAATAAAAAATAAGAGTAAGAATACAACCCAGTCCCCAAAGTAAGTTTAAATCCAAGCCACAGTCAGCCACCATCTTTTTTATTGAAGCAAACCTCATAGAAATTCATGAAACTGATTTATACTGTAAGTGCACGTACTGATGATCGTGATAATTTCTGGCATAAATTTCATAAAAGAGAACCTAATAATTCAAGAGGCTAGCCCATTTCAGAAAAATCATTCTAGTATACTTATATGGCAACAGTGACGGGTCCTCCAGAGTCATTCCCAATCATCAGATGAGACCAAGAAGGGATGGGAGATATAGAAATTGGTTCCCCAAATATACACATCTTCTACCGTACAACTATTCCTTCCCATAAACAGGTCAAAATCCTTCACTGCATTTTGCCACATTATTTACAACTTAGTTTGGGTCATAAATCCATATGCTTCTAAAAATTTGACAGTAGGTTTTTTCCCAAGCATACTCATTAACATGAGTTCCAGCCAAATCTGAGCTTTACCACCTCTGGTGCATATGGCAGGAGCAATCTCTTTGCATAGGCCTATACCAAATGGACTCCTGGAGGCTCCCCAGCAATATTCCCTGATGGCCACCATCTTGTGCCTTCTCCCTGTTCAAGTAATATGGATCTGTCTGAAGGAGGGAAGGAGAGACCATGGCTCCTTTTAGAGGATGCTGCCGTACAGTTAATTTATGTAATGCATGTTGATTAATGCATTTTTTGCTATTGTGGAGTAAGTTGCTTGGAAGGGGCAAATGTTAAGACAAGGAGGTAATTTTGTTTGATGAAGCCCATCCAAGCCTAATAATCAAAAAAGACCAAGCATTTTCTCCTCCTTCCCATATGGACTGATCATAATCTATACATTTTTTGACGCATCCAAGTTACACTCCTAAAACTATCATACAATTAGCATAAAAACTGGAAAGAACAGTACCTAACTCAAGTTACGCAGGAAATGTCTGTTCTCCAAAATTTTCAAGATTTCCCTACCATTATTACTGAAAGCATCATCCAGGGGTAAAGAAGACAGAGTCCAGTGGCTGATCATACTGCAACCCATAACATACAGGAAATCATGGTTCAGGTCACTGGAAGCCCATCCAGCCACCACATTTTTTCAGCTAGTATGACCATGCAACTTCTTGGAAAAGTATTAACATTTAGATGTGGGTTATGTAATACAGTTTTAGAGGAGCATTTCCAGCCAAATCACCTCCAAACTGTTTTTTTTTAAAAAAAAAAACAGTTTTATATTTAAGAGAACCACTAATGAATTAGGAAGGAGCTGAGAGTTCACAAGCATTTCTTATCATCTGTCAGAAAGAATCCCAAGTACTTCCCCATATAATATAGACTTACTTTCTAGTAAGAGTGCTTTGGATTGTAACAACAATAAGACAGTCTTAGGAAAAGGGCTTACGAAGGCAGCAAGCACAGATCATGGGGAAATCTAAGAACAGTCAGTCAAAACTGGAAAAATTTGTTCCCACTCCATTCATTAATAGATTGCTTCCAATCTCAGATACAATTTGAGTTTTTTTTTAAAAAAAGTTATGTCTGCTTTTTCCAAAATGAAACAGCCAATCTAATGAAGAATTCAATCTTCTGGGTTCATCTCTCCACCCATCAACTTAACAAAGCATATACTCTGCATGTATAGATGTTTATAATATACAACTATCCCCTTTTTTCTGTTACTCAGAAAACCACCTCCAGCACACACAACCTCATGAATTATATAAATATAAATCATATTACATAAACAATTACGTTCTTCATTCCCATATATACACAGGCCCCACACATCTTACTATTGTGCTGAATCTACAGGTAAGCAATCCACCCACACTTTCAAACAATGATTGTAAATTAAAGTACCTCCACATTAGCCTTGCCTGATTTGCTGGGAGTAAAAATTACAAATAAGATTACTACTGCCAAAACTGGATGAGAACTAACTTAATATATAAATAATGCTACTAGATTAGAAGTATGGAAGGCAGGTTTTTATATAGGCAGGTTTTATACAGCTTCAACTGTAATGGAGGAGAAATGATAAATACCATGCCATCTTTTTAAAAAAAATCTTAATGTGCCAGAACAAAGATCCTTGCTCCTCTCCGACTCCCTCTGAACTGTTATCAAAAAGGAGCTAAAGGCAACAGATCAACCACACAATGAATCCAAACATTAAAAGGAGAAATTTAAAAATTGATAAGGCCATCTCACTTAGCTATAGGCACAACTTAGAATTAAATAATGTTCGTATTATATTTATATGCTCAGAGCCAAAATGATTGAAAGGGGGAGGGGGGAAAACAGGGCAGCAATCGATGAGAAATACCACAAAACTTATATTTGCTAGACTGTACAATCTTATTGCAAGGCTCTGAGCCACTAAGCAGCAATATTTTAGAAGAAATGTTGAAGGAGAGACGGAAGCTCCCTTGCTATCCCCCTCCCCAATACCCAGCCTTGTCTGTGCACAAAAGGAGATGGCTATTTACAATAACATCTCCCCTCACCACACACACACACACACACCCTATTTGCCAAAGGCAGCACTTTTAGGAACACAATGCTGATTACTAACTGGTTCTCCCCTTTAATAAAAAGCACAGATGAGGTTGAAAAAGTGGGGGAGACACCCGCCTCAGTGCTGGTTATTTGGAAATCACCAGATGTGGAAGCAGAATGGAAGAAAAACAATAGTCCCCCTTCCTCTTCCCCCAAATTGATCACGATGGCGATCTCAACTCCCCCCTCCCCGGTAAATCAACTGAGAAGGAAAGGATCGGGTCTCTTTCTACCTATAAGAAGGGACAAGCGAGAGAAAGAGAAGGGGAACCCATCCTGAAATCCAGGCGCGGGAGGGGGTGCCTACGATCCTTTGTCTTCATCCAAAAATCCGAAAACAAAACAAACATCTTCCCCCCCCCCCAGTCGATTAGACTCACCTCCCTCCCCCGGACGACGGCCGCAGCGCTGTGGGTAAGCGCCGTTCCCCTCCCCCGCCTAATCCCTCCTCTCTCAACAACAAAAAAAAAAAAAAACAAAGAGGCGGTGGGGCCGCCTTTCCCCCCGGATTTGCACCTCAAAACTTGCCCGGAGCCCCTCAATACTTACCCCGCCTAGAAGGAGCCTTCCTACCGCTGCTGCTCCGGGGGCTGTCAGGGGGGAGGGAAAGCCGGGGGGGGAGGATGACGGAGGATTGGGAAGGGAGGCTGATCGCCGAAGCCAGTGCTGCGCTGCTACCGCCGCTTCCTCTTTCTCCGTGCTCTGCCTGCTCAACCGCCTCCCTCCTTCCCCTTCAGCCTCTCTCTCCCAGTGTACAGCCGGAGCGCTCGCTCATTGAGTTTCCATTGAATCTCACGGCCAAACCCACTGATGTCATCCTACAGATCCTTGGGCCCTCCCTCAGAAATTTAAAGGGCCAGCAACTTGTTTTTGTTCCTTCTACTTCTGGTTCGTTGTCAACAGCCGATTAATAGCGCTCGCTAGAAAAAAAAAATATCAAAAGCCGACCCACCCACCTCCACCCGCTATTTTCATCATTACACACATGCACAAAGTTTGCTAACAAACACTGTAATCATAAATGCATACCGATGTCACATCTGCAATGCAAAATCATTGAATCCAGCAGAACCACTGCCAGAGGTTTGGGAGAAAGAATGAACGATGTTCACATTTTTCAGCTAAGGACGTTAGAGGCGGCTCTGCTCACTTACTTGGGAGTAAAAATGGAGAATCTTGAGACATTTTTGAAACTGAAATAATTATTCTAGCATATGTTTATTTAATTCTATGGCTTCTACATTTATCTATTTCAGGCAAAGAATAGCAGAGGCATAATACACCCAATTGAATGCAGAATTCAGAGAATAGCTAGAAGAGATAAGAATGCCTTCTTAAATGAACAGTGCAAAGAAATAGAAGAAAACAACAGAATAGGGAGGACCAGAGATCTCTTCAAGAAAATTGGAGATATGAAGGGAAAGTTTCATGCAAAGATGGGCATGATAAAGGACCAAAATGGCAGAGACCTAACAGAGGCAGAAGAGATTAAGAAGAGATGGCAAAACTACACAGAAGAACTATACAAGAATGAGCTTAACATCCCAGATAACCACAATGAGATGGTCACTGACCTCGAACCAGACATCCTAGAATGTGAAGTGAAATGGGCCTTAGAAAATCTGAGCAACAACAAAGCTAGTGGAGGTGACAGTATTCCAGCTGAGCTATTCAAAATCTTAAAAGACGATGCAGTAAAAGTGCTACACTCAATTGCCAGCAAATTTGGAAAACTCAACAGTGGCCACAGGATTGGAAAAGGTCAGTTTACATTCCAATTCCAAAGAAAGGCAATGCCAAAGAATGTTCAAACTATCGCACCATTGCACTCATTTCACATGCTAGTAAAGTTATGCTTAAAATCCTACAAGCTAGACTCCAGCAGTATGTGGATCGAGAACTACCAGAAGTACAGGCAGGATTTCGAAGAGGCAGAGGAACTAGAGATCAAATTGCCAACATACGCTGGATCATGGAGAAAGCTAGGGAGTTCCAGAAAAACATCTACTTCTGCTTCATTGACTATGCTAAAGCCTTTGATTGTGTGGATCACAACAAATTGTTGCAAGTTCTTAAAGAGATGGGAGTACCAGACCATCTCATTTGTCTCTTGAGAAACCTATATGCGGGTCAAGAAGCAACAGTGAGAACTGGACACGGAACC